TGGAATCTGTTTTTGATTGTCTGTTTAGATAGGATCTTCCAGAGAGTTTGCATTTGATTCTTAGTATGCACATCCAGTGGCTCACAACCACCTGTAACTCCAGCTCCACAGGATCTGCTACCCCCTTCAAGATTCTGTAGGTACTACACACTCAAAAGACACACAAATAAAAATAAATCTTAGCCAGGTGGTGGTGACAGGTATACCTCTAATCCCAGATCTCGGGAGGCAGAGGCAGGTGGATCTCTGTGAGTTTGAGTTTCAAGACAGTCGTAACTATACAAAGACACTTTGTTTTGAACAAATCATTCATAGATAGATAGATGATAGACAGACAGACACATAGATAGAGTGAATTAAAAAAAAATTAAAAGCCATAGCCCTGGGTCGGCAAGATGGCTTTGTGGATATGGGTAGTATTTGCAGCCAACCTTGAACTGAAGTTGATCCTTGAGACCCTACATGGTAAGAGGAAGGGCTGACTCCTAAAAGCCTTCTTACCTCCACAGGTCTGTGGCACACTCCCAACTCAAACAAATAAATAAGCTTAATCCTAAAAATGAAGCTGTAGTCCTGAAGTGAATAAATAATGACCCTTTCAATTCAGGGAGGTAGTCAGCTACTAAGGCTCTTGCTGAGCAAGCATGAAGACCTGAGTTCATCCCCAGTATAAAGATGGCACAGGGGCACAAGAACCCACAGTCCCAGCTGGCACACGGTCCTAATTCTAGTTACTGAGCCTGTTCCCTTTCTCATTAGTTGTTTGTCCAGCATTAATTGTGTGTCAATGCCTAAATCATGCACTGAGGACAGACCCAAGAACAAGAACCCTACTCTCCCCTTAAGAAACTCATAAACTGCTAGGCTTTAGTGGCGCATGCCTTTAATCTCAGCACTTGGGAGGCAGAGGCAGGCGGATTTCTGAGTTCGAGGCCAGCCTGGTTTACAGAGTGAGTTCCACGACAGCCAGGACTACACAGAGAAACTCTGTCTTGAAAAATCAAAAAAAAAAAAAAAAAAGAAAGAAAGAAAGAAAAAAGAAACTTACAAACTAATTAGCCAAGACCAACACACACAAGTGCAACACACTGAGTGTGTTCTAAAACGTATTGAGAAAGCAACGGAAAGCTTCTGGAGTATTGACTGCCACACAGTAGAATTAGTCCTATTTTGCTGTTGTTTTGGTTTTAGGGGTTTGTTGGCTGGTTCGTTGGTTTTAAGACAGGGTCTCACTAAGTATCCCTGGCTGCCCTGGAACTCTGCCTCCCAAATTCTAGAATTAAAGACATATGTCACCATGCTTACTTGGTACATCAGGCCTATGTTTTATTCAGCTTTCAGCTTTGAAACTCTCATAGTTCCTAGCAAGCTCTAAATAAATGTCTGTAGAATAAGTCAAGTCATCCCATATCCTCTTTCTATACCTACTGCCCATAGGCTGTCCAAAGGTCAACTCAGAAGGGACCAGAAGGCCCCTGGGGCTGGTACTGCACATGTGCAATGCTCTAAATTAGATTGGGCCAGACTGTGGGGGAAGGTAAGGGGTTCAAAACTACACTTATTTTATGTTTATTCATATCCTAGATATTTGCTCATTCAACAAATATGTATCAACTGCCAATGATGAGCTGTTGCAAGTTTGGGGTCCAGAACCCCGTATCAGAGAACTGGTCTATGCATTCAAAAGGACACAGCATTCAGAGGTGGGCCTCCCCCAAAACAAACAAACAAAAACAAGATAATTTTTTACTTATGAAAAAAATCTGGCCGGGCGGTGGTGGCGAACACCTTTAATCCCAGCACTTGGGAGGCAGAGGCAGGCAGATTTCTGAGTTCGAGGCCAGCCTGGTCTACAGAGTGAGTTCCAGGACAGCCAGGGCTATACAGAGAAACCCTGTCTCGAAAAACCAAAAAAAAAAAAGAAAAAAATCTGACAGTGACCGTGCTGGCTAGTTTTAAGTCAACTTCACACAGCTAGAGCCTTCAAAGGAGGGAGCCTCGATTAAGAAAATGCCTCTGTGAAATGGGGCTGTAGACAAGCCTGAAGGGCATGTTCTTAATTACTGACTGAAGTGGGAGAGCCCAACCCATTGTAGGTAAGACCACCCCTGGGCTTTGTAAGAAAGGAGCAGGCCTGCATCAGCTCCTGACTTCAGGTGCCTGCTGTCCTGTCTTCCTTCAGTGATGAGCTGTGATGCGGATAAATCCTTTCCTCCCACAGTTAATTCTGGTCAAGGTGTTTCATTACAGCTACAATAACCTTAATACCATGACTATGGGATGTTAACTTAGACCAAAAGGAAGGTGATATTTAAACTGGTGCATAGTGGTTTTTCACACTAAGCTTTAGCTTTAGATGTAGCTCAGTGGGTAGAGTGCTAACCTAGCATACTAGAGGTCCCAGGTTCAATCCCCAGCACTGCTTAAAATGAGACAGTTGTGGGAGGCTCCAGAGGTAGAAGCTGGAGGATCAGTTTGTGCTCATCAGAAGCCTCTGCCAGCTCTAGGCGCACCTGGACTGTATTAGACTCAGTTCTCAAGACAGCAAAAAAGGAAAAAAAAAAAAAAAGCAACTTCATTTCACTCTTATTTTTTGGAGAAAAAAGTCAAAGCAGAAACCCCACCGAAAACGAGAAGGTAGCATTAAAATAGTATTCAGTGATGTATTTTCCTAAAGCACATGCCTAACTCAATTGTCACAGGAATAGAAACCTGTTCACACATTCACCATTTTTTTTAATTGCGCTTATTTTTGTATGCCACAGTTTCACTTTGCTTCAAAGGAAATTTTGACCATATTGCATACTGATTTTTTTTTTTGATGCTTACTTCTAAAAGAAGCAAAGCAAGAGGTTTTGGTGACACCTACATAATCTTTGCAAAAGGATGCAAAAACCTTACTTCTCAACTGGGTATGGTGGTGCAAGCCTGTAACACCAGCATTTTGGTAGCCTGAGGCAGGAGGATTACCATGAATGCAAAGCCAGCCTGGACTGGGTAGCAAGTACCGGGCTAGCCAAGGCTGTAAAGTGAGACCTTGTCTCAAATAAGCAAAAAAATAAGCTGGAGTTGGTGGCTCACATCTATAATCTTCAGCATTTGTGGAGCTGAGGCAGGGGGATTAAGATAAATTTAATACCAGTCTGGGTTACATAGTGCCTTCTGGGCCAGCAGCCTGGACTATAGAGACTGTCTTGGGTGAGGTTCTATAATAAGTATTTTATCTTTCAAATGCAATATTCAAAAATAATATCTGGAATATGACATTCCATCCCACACCTCTAACCCTTGAAAAGGCGGTAGAGAGAAAACTGAATGTATGCAGAAAGCAAGGATGTTATCTTTATTTAAATTACAAAGAAATGGACACTAGATTTTTAAAAATTAATTAACAGTGATTTCAGCAAATCATTTAACTGCTCCAAAGCCTCAATTGCTTTCCCATGGGTACAAATGAAGATGTTGACAACAGAAAATCCCTACGGATACTTGCAGCCTTAAACACTGACTCTCCTCAGAAAACAGTTCAAGTAACCTTACAGCATGGGTGCTAGCATGGGTATTTTTTTAAAAAAAAATGTCCATTTTGGTTTTGTTTTTATCATAATTTCCTTCTGATGTACTGTATCAGAGCAGATTGTACATGGCAAGATTCCACCAAAAGAATATCCTCCATATACCAGTCAAAAGAATAAGGGGAAGGCAATTACGACGCTCAACAGTTTTGCTGCATTTGATGGGGGCTGGGGGCTGAGAGGAAGCTACCATAGAAGAGGATCACTGAAAAAGGAAACTGTAAATTTCCACCTCTCCTACAGGGAAAAAGCACTTTCATTTTCTCTCACTCTAAATGGAGAGAGCGAAGGCCACATCGGTCCTCACACGGTTTCATTGTAAAGACGTGCCAAAATACTCAAGAGGCACTATTTTTCTACCTAGGTCACCCATCTTTATTTGAGAACGCTGTTTTTTAAATACCTACAACCCGCCCTCCCTCACTTCGACGATAACCATCCATTATAAAAATAGATAAAAAAATAAATTAAAAAATGTCTGCTGCGCCTTTCATGCAAACCCATAAACAGTCCTATCTTCCCCGCAGCGACGCCCAGGGCTAAGTCCCACGAGCAGCGAGAGACCGCAGACTGCGGCGCAGGCTGGGGCCACTCCTCCCGCGGCACTCTGAAACTGCTCCCCTTCTCCCTTGGGATTTCTAAGGGTTCGGACCCGGCTAAGACCCCTCCCTTTAAGTCCAGCCTCGGGAAGGGGAGGCGGAGGGAGCCCTGCGGGAGCAGCGCCTCAGGAAAACCCCGTGTCCCCTCCCCAGCTGGCAGGAGTGGCCCAAGCGGCGCGCGCCCTGCCGCTCCCAGGTGGGTCTCTGAAGCCGGGGACAGCGCCCTGCTCCCGGGAGAGGAAAGCAGGGAGGGAGGAGGACGCAGGCCAGCCTTCGTTCGTCACGATTCACGAGCGAGGGTGGGAAAGAGGGAGGGATTGGAGACAGAAAAAAGGGGGGGGGAGCGGAATTGGGAGCTCTGGAAATGCAGAAGGCAAGGAAGGGAGACGGTAGGAAAGGAATACGTCTGGGGAAGAGTTGGGGTGCAAAAGGGTGATGCTGCAGAGGCGGGTGGCGGGCTGGAGGGGTAAAGGCGCGGGTGGGGGAGGGAGAGATGGGGTCTGGGATGAACAGGGAGAGAGGAGACGGGATGGGATGAAGGAAGAGAGATGGCGTGATGGAGGTGAAGGGATGAAGGTAAAAAAGAAAATGGAATGTTTATGAAGGCGAGGTGTGAGAAGGAGGGATGGGATGAAGAGGAGATGGAGGATTAGAGACTGAGGAGGCGTCTTGGGTGAGGAGGACCGAGGTGAAGAGGGGATCTGGGTGAAGCGTGAGTCAGGGAAGTCTGCTAGCTGCAGGAAGCCAGAGGGGCTTCCCTCCCGGGAGGGCGGCGCCTGAATAACGGGTTTCGCCGGCCCCGGGGCAGCACCCGGACGCCACTTACTCTCTCCGACCACCGCCTTGAGGCCAATGGGGGCCATGGCGTTCTTCGAGTCTCCGGGCTCCGATGCTCCTCCCGCGACACCGTCGCCTCCCCCGGGCCGCGCGCCCGGCTATGTGCAGCCCGCCGCCCCGCAGTCGCGCTCGGGACCGACTGACGCGCCGACTCCGTGCGGGGGCGCGACTCGGGCCAGAACGAGGCTGTGGAGCGGTCCGCGCGCGGGGGAGGGGCGGGGCTGCGGGGGCAGGGCCTCGCGCCAGCCGTCAGCGTCACCCGCGTGCTTCCGCCAATAGAAGTGCTGCCCGGACGTGAGACCCCGCCCTCCGGGATGCGGGCTCCGGGAGCGCCCTCCCCTGCGCCTTACGCGCGCGCCCGGGGCTCAGGGTCCTAAAATCCCCTCATCAGCCCTGCTCTAGCTGTCCAGGCCATGGGAATGTCCCCAAAGCCAGGCTGTGATGCTCTTTCTGCTTTTTTGGCCTTCCACTTTCTCCTGCCAACAAAACGAACCCTGAGAGCAGATTCTTATTAACTGTATTCCCATTCCCAGCGACAATATAGACTTACAGTACAATGAAACTATCCGTGTGTCTCTGTGGTCTGTGGAGCGCTAAGCTCAGTGTCACACACCTTTCAAGTATCATCTTACTAAATTTGCGCAGTATCTGAGCATTGTTTCTAATCTTCATTTTCAGGTGCAAAAACAAATACCCGAGGCACTTGCTGTTGTGCTATTTTATCTATACTCACTAATGAATATTGTTCTCCCATTACTATGTATAAGCTGATATTCTGTACACTGGGGCGGCACTCATGCACAAGACATGGTACAAATCAAGTAGTTTTCAAGATCCAAATCTAATTAGGAAATACTATAGAATCTACTCCGGACTCAGCATCTCCTTCTTGCAGTCTACATGGTCACGGTTTTCACTGTGCCGTATTTGCTAATGAAGAAGGTTGCTTTCGAAATACAGAACAAAAGTGGGAGATGGACCTCAGTGGTGGAGCTCTTGCTTGTTATATGCAAGGTCTCCACTTTGATCCCTGACCCTGGGAAAAAAAAAGTGCAAAGAAAAACGAACAAGTCCAACCAATTCGAAAATCATAAAGGAGGAGGCTAGAGAGATGGCTCAGTGCTTAAGAGCACTGAGTGCTCTACCAGATGATGGTGCTGAGTTAAAGTCTTAGCATTCACATGGGCTCACAATTGTCTTTGTAGTCTATTTGTTATTTTTTTTTCCAGAGCTGAGGATCAAACCCAGGGCCTTGTGCTTGCTAGGTAAGCACTCTACCACTAAGCCAAATCTCCAACCCCATCTTTGTAGTCCAAGGACTACATAGGACCCAATGCCCTCTTCTGATGTGCATACATGCCAACAAACACCCACATATATAAAATACATGCATAAATAAATCTTTTTTAAAAACACATTTTAAAAAAGAAAAACCACAAAGGAGCTAGGTGTGGTAGCACATACCTTTAGTCTCAGCATGCAGGAGACAGACAGAGAGATAGGAAGATCCCTGAGTTTGAGGCCAGTCTGGTCGACAGAGCAAGTTTCAGAACAACCTGGTCTATAGAACAAGTTCCAGGACAGCCAGGGTTACACAGAAAAATGCTGTCTTAACAAACAAACAAACAAACAAGGAAGAACCACAGAGGAGGGCAGAGCGGCACAGACCTTTAATCTGAGCACTTGGGTGGCAGAAGCAGGACAAACTCTTTGAGTTCCTGGTCAGCTACCATGGTCTACATAGTGAGTTTCAGGCCAGCCAGCACTACATATATCCAGTTTCTAAAAACAAAACAACAACAACAAATTCACAAAGGAAGGGCTATGGGGTAAAGGCACTTGTCATCTGGCCTTACAACCTGAGTTTGATCCCCAGAATCCACTTAGTGCAAGCAACAAACAGACTCCCACAAGTTCTCTGACCTCCATACACGAATAGTGGCACTTGGTACCACACATTAGATAAACATAATAAAACTTTACAGCAGTTCTCTGGAACCAACTCCCTGAAAATTGTCTGACTTCTACACGAGTGCCATAGAACATATACATACACACATCATACACACATATACATAATAATAAATTAATTTTTTAATCATAAAGGAGTGCTAGACGTGGTGGCAAAGATCTGTAATCCCAGTGTTTGAGAGGTTAAGGCAAGAGATTTTTTTTTTTGTGAACTTCGGCCAGCCTGGACTACATGGCAATCTCCTGTCTCAAAAACCCGAAACAAATGGGCTACAAAGTATGGCTCAATGGGTAATCAATGGCTCAATGGGTAGTCTTGAAGCAAGACTGATAACCTGAGGTCAGTCATTGGAGCCCACATAAAGAGAGAAGAGAATGGACCACAGAGTTGTTCTCTGAGCACATACCATGACAAGCATGAAGCACTCTTCATCCTTCGGGCTGTGAGCTGAGTACAAATAGGCATTGCTTTCTGCTTCCTGACTGTGGATGCAATGTGACCTCAAGCACCTCCCTCCATTCCTACCTTGCCATAATGGACTTGCCCTTGAGCTGTAAACCAAGAATAAATGTTTTCTTCCTTAAAGTACTTTTTTTTTTTTTGGTTTTTCGAGACAGGGTTTCTCTGTATAGCCCTGGCTGTCCTGGAACTCACTCTGTAGACCAGGCTGGCCTCGAACTCAGAAGTTAGCCAGCCTCTGCCTCCCAAGTGCTGGGATTAAGGTGTGCCACCACCGCCCGGCTTTAAAGTACTTTTATCAGGATATTTTATCACAAGAACAGGAAAAGGAACCCAGACATCTGGCCTCTACTCCAGTCTACACCCAAATGACCTTTTGCTTCCTTCCTAGACAGAAAGTACAATATGTCTTCTCTCCATGTCTCAGTTCTGCCTTGGCTTACAGAACACATTGGTAGATTCTGGGTACATCTGGAGAAGGAGCTAGTGTGTGTAAATGTAAGGGAACCCCGGGTACAGTTGTGACACCACATGCTCCTTCCTTAACCAGCTGGCATGTATCAACAGAGACTCCACAATTAATGCATCTACCACAGAAACATGAATTAGAAGCTTGAGAAATCCCTTCTGGTTAAGGAGTTGGGGGATGTTGAGGGCTGGATTGCCATTCATCCAGTCAAGTGGGCCAATAAAGGTTAACAGAGTGGCATTAGGGGTCCAGTCCAAATGCTGTAAGGTAAGATTCCTGCCCTTGAGGGTCTGATGGCACAGACCAGCAGTAGTAGGGGAGTCACGCATGCTGGAAAGTACTGAAACAGGAAAGCCGGCTGTGAAAGTAGCTGACAGGACACCTGACCCAAGAACTGGCTGGGCTCCCTGAACCAAAGGCGGAAAAAGTAGCAAAGAGGGAATGGGAGAGCATCCTGACAGACACACTGTAGGTGAAACACCCAGCAACAGGAGAGAATTTGGCTTCTCCAGGAAAAGAGGGTCTGTTGTGATTATAGCGGAGAGCCTAAGGGTCAGACGGGCGGGCACAGCTCTAGGCGCTGGCTGGCTGCACTGCTCAGGGGCTTTCAGGAGGTGTGGGATCTGTGCACAAGAAACCTCCTCAAAGATCACTAAAATACAGCAGCTCCTTATTTCAGCAGAAACAAGGACCAGAAGGAAGATAGTTTCTGCATGTGTGCATACCTGGCGTGTTCCCTGTCGGTGGCTAAGGTCAGAGTGGATGCTATTTTTAAAAAGTTCAAAGAACAAATGGGATGAGAGCAAGAATCCACCACGGAGCTTGACTGTGGTGGGTGCTGGCTCCTATAATCTTGGCACTTGAGAGGTAGAAGCAAAGGAGGGGAAGAGATCGAGAGTTCAAGATGACCTTCCTTCATCCTTGGCTACATAGCAAGTTCACGGGTAGACTGAATTTACTTGAAATCCTACCAGAAAAATAAAGATCCCTAGCCCTGCGGTGGTGGCACACGCCTTTAATCCCAGCACTTGGGAGGCAGAGGCAGGCGGACTTCTGAGTTCGAGGCCAGCCTGGTCTACAGAGTTCCAGGACAGCCAGGGCTACACAGAGAAACCCTGTCTCAAACCCCCCCGCAAAAAAAGAAATAATAATAATAAAAAATAAAGATCCCGAGCTGCCATCTTGTATCCCCGAGTGTGTGCGCCTTATCTTAGCTGGTCTGCCGGAGACCCCCTGAGCATGAACCTTAGTTCCCCGCGCGGTCCCATTTCCACTCCAACAAGATGAAAGAAACGATCATGAAGCAGGAAAAACTTGCCAAACTGCGGACACAAGTGCGCATTGGTGGGAAAGGAACTGCTTGTAGAAAGAAGAAGGTGGTTCACAGAACAGCCACAGCAGACGATAAAAAGCTGCAGTTCTCCTTAAAGAAGTTAGGGGTAAACAATATCTCTGGTATTGAAGAGGTGAACATGTTTACAAACCAAGGAACAGTGATCCATTTTAACAACCCTAAAGTTCAGGCGTCTCTGGCAGCAAACACCTTCACCATTACAGGCCACGCTGAGACAAAGCAGCGGACAGACATGCTTCCCAGCATCCTAAACCAGCTCGGTGCAGACAGTCTGACTAGCTTAAGGAGACTGGCCGAAGCTCTGCCCAAACAATCTGCGGATGGAAAAGCACCACTTGCTGCTGGAGAGGATGATGATGATGAAGTTCCAGATCTGGTGGAGAATGTTGATGAGGCTTCTAAGAATGAGGCAAACTGAATGGAAGCAACTTCTGAAGAAGATGACATTTGCAGAAGTTACAGGAGCTGCTATTTTATATCATGACTGCTTTTTAAATTTTTTTTGTTTATTATGGATCTGATAAAATCTAGATCTTTAATATTTTTAAGCCCAAGCCCCGGGACAGTGCAGCTCTTTTCAGTTTCGCTTATATCTAATTCTTTGCGGCAAATTAAGCTGAAAAAGCCTGGGAATAAAGTTTGGAAAAGGTTAATAAAATTCTTTGCCTAATAAAAATAAACAAATAAACAAATAAAATAATAAATAAATAAATAAATAAATAAATAAATATCCCTATCCTAACTTTGAGGTCACACTGAATTTGGAATCCATCACCTGGCTCCAAGCTTCCAGACATCTCTGAACCTTGGTTTCCCCATCTGTAAAGCTTCTCTCTCAGGGTAACTCTGAGGATACAGGGCAATGACCAACAGTGTAAAAGCTCTCCCAGGCAGACATCACTCACACTATATTTAGAGAGGAAAAGTGTTGAGACAGGGTCTTCCTAGATAACCC